TACAAGTTCGATGTATATATTTCAAGTTCAATGTCGATGAGTTTCATTTCATAGGATTCGAATAATATTAAAATATAACTTTATTTGTTATTAATTCGAATAATATAAAGTCAAAATATTTTAAAGTGTACGTTTGCAACTTATCTATTTTTAGACAAGTTCAATGTTCAATTTTATTGTAGTTCAATGTATACAAGTTCGATGTATATATTTCAAGTGCAATGTTGATGAGTTTCGTTTCACGGATTTCAAAGAATACTCGAAAATAAAAACGTTTTAATGTTACATTTGCGGTGTACAAGTTCAATGTAGTTCAATATCCAATTTCATTCATAGTTGAACGTTCAAATTCGTTGTATACAATATATATATATCAGTCAAGTTTGATATCTGAGTTTCGTCTCGTGCGTTTCGAATACTATTACAATACTCGTTTTGCACGAAGCAAATGTCAATTTCAAATATACGTATAAATAGCTCGATCTTTGTAAAAATTTGCAAATGGCACTGGAATCTTGAAAAATTGAAATTCTTATCGGAGGATCTAAATGAGGGATCTTTGCTAATCAAAGAAACTCACGAAGATCTCATAGAAAAACGAGGCTCTTTGTCAAAAATTCTCCTGCAACCTCTCTCGCGTGTCCTCAATCGTCAGATGCTAAGCTGACACATATATTTAACAATCAATCAATAAACACACACGGAGAAAGATAAAATATCAACGAAAAGTTCCTCGTTGTACAAAAGAAAAAAAAAAAAAAAAAAAAGAAAAGAAATCGATAAACGACCTATTATCTACAAGTGAGCTCCTAAATGCCCAGACAGCTGGAGTCGAATTATCTGTCCTCGTTGCCGCCACGGATTTTCGACGGGGTGCAATACATGGAGCAGCTTCGCCTTGCTAGGAACCCGTGGCACTGCGACTGCGCCGCTTCTTATTTGGCCACGTGGCTGCAGCGGATGTACCTGGCGCAAGTGAACGCGACGAAACCGGCCGAAGATCCTGGCGTTTGGGAATTCGGCGCGGGGGCGGTTTGCAGAGGGCCCGGCACTCTCGGTGGCAAACTGTTGCTGCGTTTGACGTTCGACGAGCTCTGCGAGGGCCAATGGGCCTCGATGAGGGGCTTGGTCCCTCGACTTCCGGTCGATCTCATCGGCAATGGTCGAATCATGGCTTCCACGGACGATCCGTTCACGCGAAACGAATCGAACTTCTCTCTCGCCGCGCAACGATAACGTCTCTCTCAAAGAAAGAATAAATTAAATTCCCTGCCAGTTCCTCCATTTTCTCACGTATCTCGTCGATTTATGCATAAAGTGCGCGTGCGATTTTATCGATCGTATTATAGGAGTTCGCGAAAGTATTAAGCATTAGAAATAAAGTAGATATATCGATTTAAAAAAGAAATCAAAGTGTTTGTCATAGCTTTCGTATATTTATATTCGAAAGTAATGAAATCAGTTGCAAAAAGAGTCTTCATTAGTTGTTATACTAAATTAGTAACGTTGCATATGGCACGAGAAAATGTTAGGTTTATACCTCTCTTTTTAGGTGTGAAAAATGTTAAGTTAGGTTTTTCATCTGTGAATATTTAAAAAATATTGTTTATCGTGAATTTTTGTGAATATATCGCGTGTGTTAAATAAAACTTTTCAAAATTAGCATTGCAATGAGATTATTATGATTATAATAGTATACTGGTATTTGCAACAAGTGAATCTGAAAATGTGAAATATAGAAATTGTTAGTTATTTGCTGCAAATATTCTATTCGAAAAGAATGAACACGTAGCGCGAGTAGTATCTCAAGTTCACTGCAGTTATCGAATTTTTGCGCCTCGATGTTTTCCTCCCATTTTCGAGAAGAAAAGTTTTATCTAACACACGTCAATGTATTTATGAAACGAACGTTTCAGTAAACATTCGAGTTATAAATACGTACAGTCACTTTGAAATTTCATTAGCGCTGCAATTAATTATATCCAAAGAAACCTGTAACATAGGAACGTAAAAACCAAGTAAGAGTAATAAAATGCAGATACATATTTCGCAAAGATCATAAAAGTATTAAAACAGACAATTATTAATTGTATTACTAATCCTCAATATTCAATAGTGGCCACTAATTAGTGTTAATAGTAAATTCATACTTTATCAATATAATCATTACGTAGTCATTGCAGCGTTAATGAAATTTCAAAATTATTTATGTAACAAGGTGCTTAAGTAAGTTGATCTAGTATTTATTAAAACAAGCAAAAAAATCCTGATAAATAAAAAATCATTAGTTTCGGAGTTATGAGACGTTTTAGAAGACAGTCTTCTCATAAATGAACATACGCAATAATTTACATTTCTTTCGAACTTAACAATTGTTACAGATATTTAAAATAGAGAAAAATTTAATAACCCCGAAACTAATGGTTTTCACGAGTGCTACGTTTGGCGCCAATTTTTTCAAAACATGTGTAAATTTTTCTACGATAAATGGCATTTCCGTGAGTCATCATGAGTCTCTCTCTCTTACTTAGCATTCCCATGATTTGCTTAACCGCACTCGTTCGAGTTGCAAGACTTCCGGTCGATACTGTACTCCAAATCTGTATTTATACGATCGTGTTGTTGCGCGCCACATGCAATGATTCGAGATGTCGCGCCGCGCGATCTCGAATCGAGCAAACAGGCTTGAAGCTTGAACGAACGAGAGAAAGTCGTATCGAGAGAGAGAGAGAGAGAGAGAGAGCGTGGGGGAACGTCGTTACCTCGATATCACAGCCAGTTCTAACCATTTCGACTATCAGGGCACAGTTTGCGACACACAATGGACGCATCAAGATCCGCGAATGCGACGACCGAGCTGCTGAAACGACTGCTCGAAATCCTCGACGAAGAGAACGCGCTCGATCGTACGGGCAGCAAGCCTGTCTTGGAGTTTGTTTATCCGGAAGAGCTACAGGTGAGCTAATTGAGACTCGTGAGCGCATGAGCCACGGAATTTTGTTGGCGGCAGTGACGCTGCACGATTAATCGCGAATCAGAACTACCGAAGTGTATATTTTTTTTTCAGAGCAACAGATACATTTTCAGGGATCCGAGTGTGATTTCTCGTTAAACATAAGCGAAAGTCTGTACTTTCTATTTTTGTTACGAACTTTTCCTAATCTTCTGAGTACTCTAATTCTAAAAGAAGAAAAAAAAAACAAGTATATCTTATATTTTGATCGTCGGTGGTTCTAATGATGATTATAGTATAAACTTTTAACTCTTTCACGTTTGAATGACGTTTTTGTAAATTATATTTGTAATATTTATTAATTAATTTACTAGAAGATCATCATGTGCATTCTACCATGAATTTTAATAATTATATATTATATTATATAATAATATAATATACATGTTTTTGAATGTGTCGAGTAATATTTCAATATTGTTATGTTAGAACAGAATGTCTGATAGTAATTGAAAGATCATCTGCTACTAGCAGGCATTCTACTATATATAATAATGTAATATTCGAATATTAAGTTATTTGAAAAATAGAGATTTTTCGATTTTGTGAAAAAGATAGATGACCTAGTTATTAATAAACTGTTATTATTCTGTTTCGATAATAAATATTCGAAAACAGAAGTACTGTACTAAATTCACATTTGACAGGATGCGCGTTTATCATGAATAATTAATAAAAAAATAATTCTCAATCCTCACTTACATTTCTCCAAAATTAAAAAAAAATATCTCAAATTTAAACAAAATACGAAAAAAATTCTTACTCTTATAATACATCACTCGTCGATTAAGTTGAGGATGTTTACTAAATTGAGATCAACATTGATAAAATAATATCGAATCGTAATGAGTCACTGCTATTAAATCGTAATTGCTAATTAACCGTATGTTAAATCGACCACTTGTTCGAGCGTTTCGTTTGCATTTCGCAGAAACTGTTGCCGATCAAACTGACCGACGAACCGGCTAGCAAAGAAGAGATCGAGACGGTAATACGACAAACGATTCGATACTCGGTCAAGACGTTCAGTCCGCATTTTCACAATCAGCTGTACGCTGGTGTCGACGAATATGGCTTGGCTGGTTCTTGGTTGACCGACGTGCTTAACACCAGCCAGTAAGTTTTTATCTAAGAGATATTTGTCTGACTTTATCTGTTAATTTTAGTTTTCACTGGCTTGCGAGCCAGTTTATCCGGTCCTTTAAAGCGTTCATAGCTTCACAGTTCTTGCGGATCATTTACTTCGTTTTATCTTCGTTTCAACGTCACTAGAATGCGGTATATTTGTTCATATTTTTCACGAATAGGGACTCGGTTTCACTTGTCAAATATTATAACTTGATTTTTATATTTTTTAATTTAAATAAACTTGAATATTTTATGTGTTGTTCTACTTTCATCTTTGCCAATGCCTAATCGCACCAAATTTTCGAAACTCGAGCCGAAAGCTTCAGTGAAAAAATTTTATTCTTTCTTTTCGGTTCATTTTCTCACATAGGGTTATCCTGTATATGACAGTTTGACACGGAATAAATTTAAAGAAAAAAAATTGTAATTACAAGGAAAATTACTTAGCTTTGAATTTAGCCTGTGCCCTTGATTTATTTAGATACACGTACGAGGTAGCTCCAGTGTTCACCATGATGGAGCAACAAGTGATAGAACAATCTTTGAAATTGGTTGGATATCCCCCGTTACCAGAAGGAGATGGTATTTTATGTCCAGGCGGTAGTTTATCAAACATGTACGGAATGGTGATGGCCAGATACAAAATGATTCCGGATGTGAAAAGGAAAGGCCTCGCAGGCCTTTCACAGTTGGTTTGCTTCACCAGTGAGGCTGGCCACTATTCAATTACCAAAGGAGCCCACTGGTTGGGTCTGGGGACCGATAATGTTTATAAGGTATGCTTATTCGCTCGTTCCAAGCATACACAACTATAATTAATTACATTATTAATATAATAATCGAGCATCGAATCGAATATTAATAATAATATATTAATATAACCAGAAATATTCGACATGTCTATACAATATCGATTTACTTACTTTTAAAAAATTCTGCGTTTTTTCATTCGTTCGACAGGTCAAATGCGACGAATTTGGACGAATGCGACCAGACGAGTTAAAAGCTGGCATAGCAGAGGTCAGGAGGCAGGGTCACTTACCTTTCTTCGTGAACGCCACGTGCGGCACGACGGTCCTCTGCTCGTTCGACCCTTTGCCGGAAATCGCGGCCATCTGCCGCGAGGAGAAACTATGGTTACATGTTGACGTTCGTACAGCAAGTATGATGAACGCAGCGAGCGACAGGCGAAACAAACTTTTCGTTTAAGACTCGAACAATCGTTACTGTTACAGGCATGCCTCGGTGGCACGTTATTGCTTTCGGAGAAATATCGGGATCGTTTGAAAGGGATCGAGCTGTACGTATTTCTCGTTTTCCTTCGTTATTCCCCTTCCTCTGATGGATCAATCTACATCGTGATACGATTTCCGATCGATTCGCAGCTCGAACTCCGTGGCGTGGAATCCGCACAAGATGCTCGGCGCGCCGCTTCAATGCTCGCTGTTCTTGACCAAGGGTAGAAACGCCCTGCACGAGGCGAATTGCGTAGGCGCGCGGTATTTGTTCCAGCAGGACAAGCATTACGACGTGTCTTGGGACACGGGTGACAAGAGTTTACAATGTGGTAGGAAGGTGAGAGTACTTGGAATCGGAAACGAGTCTATGATATATGGATCGTCTTCGTCGTTATCTGGGAATGCCACGTCTTTCTTCGTTGCAGGTCGACGGAGCGAAATTCTGGCTGATGTGGAAGGCACGAGGGACCAAAGGGCTTCGCGAATCCGTGGAAGTAGCCATGTCCGCGGTCGAGTACTTCTTCGAACGAATCAAAGATCGAGAAGGGTTTCGCTTGGTGCTCCCACGATACGAAGGCTGCAACGTTTGCTTTTGGTGATTATTAATTGCTCCTGTCACACCACATCCTTCCAGTTTGACTATCACGTGCTCAATTCGGTAATAGGTACATACCACCGAGCATGCGAACTCAAGAGGAGACTCAGGAATGGTGGGACAAATTGTACGAGATCACAGCTAAGATAAAAGGACGTATGATGCTGGAAGGAACGCTGATGGTTGGCTACACGCCGCTGTCTTATTGCAATCTCGGTAACTTCTTCCGTATGGTGGTCACCTGTCAACCGCCGCCGAGCAACGCTTCCATGGATTACGTGGTCGACAAGATAGAGCAACTGGCGGTCGATTTGTAAACAAGCTGAACGTGTACGCTCGCTCCAGCGAGCGAAAGAGAAAGAAAGAAAGGAAGGAAGCTCGGGAGAAAATGAATTCGCTCGAGGAGCAGATACTTGCGGGCGTTATTGTTCATTTTATTGCATGATTCTATGCCATTCTGGGGTTCGCGAAAATGTTCGTTCGATCGGGGAACGTCGCGTCGTCTGTTTGTACACTTGTTTGCAGTGCGTAACTCGTCGACCCGAGATGGTTAAAATCCACGGCTGAGTTTCGAGTTTCGAGTTTCGAGAGTCACAATAGTTGTTTTTTTTTTTTTCTTTTTTTGCTTTCTCCTCTTCACGACTATCGTCTTTTTTTCGAGTCGACCCGTGACCGCGACTCAATGTGAGCCAATAGTAAAAATATCGCGAATCATATGCGTATCGAATCTTCATGCATTCGTTCACGGTCTCACGATCTCTCTTTCAGGATCTCTCACACACACACGCCATACTCGCACAGTCCAAACACACGTCTAATAGGTACACGTTACGTGCTCGTCCTTTGTCGATTACGAAGCGATGCACGCATTCGACGTAACGATGGCACTGAATCGTTCGACGCGAAACTGAAAACGATCGTCTCTGTAAATCTCAAATAAACAAGTGTATGAATATCACTGGATGATGCAGGCGATCTGTCCGCGTTTGACACCTCCTCTTAATCCTTTTTTTCTTTTTTTTTGGAAGCTCGTCTCCTACTTTTGTAGGCTGTTTCTCGTAGCATTCGTCGTTCGAAATTACAGAAGAGGCGGATGGTCACGTCGTGGTTGCGTTCGTTAGCTCTCGCCTGCCGTTCTCGCAATACGCCTTCATGGCGATATATTTCTTCGTTAGATGCTACAGATCTTCGCGTTAAATAGTCGAAACGCGAGTGGTAGAAATTTGCTCATTTCTTATTGCACGCTGCCCGTTCAGTAGTACTTGTCCTGGTCAGGATCCACTCGGATATGTTGCTGGCCATGACTGTTGCGCTTCAACGTAGCAGACTCATAGTCGAGACTCTTTGGGTAAAGTTTCGGACTTCCGAGGCCGTTCACGTTTGGATTGTTCTTACTGCGAAGAGTTCCGTTACCATTCGTGCTGCCGGAGAAACTGGGCTGCCGTTTGGCATTTACCTGTATCAAAAAGGGAAAACAGCTTCAACAGGTTTATTCGAAAAATATCACACACAATTTATAAATATAACTGAAGAAATGGAACTTAAAAATAGTGGTAGTCTTTCAGTAGTTAAATATCCTAACAGGAACTTCAAATATTCTAACAAAGTTTTAACGACTAACAACTCTATATTATAAATATGAAATGATCAATATTACACACAATTTATATTTTTATAAAGAAATGGAACCTAGAAATAGTCTTTTACTAGTTGAATATCCTAACATGATCTTCAAATATTCTAACAAAGCTTTAACGACTAACAACTCTGTATTACATGACATTTTACGACCAATCAGATCTACATGCTTTTACTCAATAGTCTTCTCATGTTTAAATTTTTCGTAAACATCCGCAGTGTAGTGGAGATTATCGACTTACATCTTTCAACGGAACCGAGACGTAGGAGTTTTGTTTGCTGATGTAGTGAGGGCTGCCGGGGATTCGCTGCTGACGTCGCTTCAGATAACAGAAGCTCAACACCGCGGTCACGGCCAAGCCAACCAAGAATCCAACTACGCAGCTGCCTACCACTGCTCCGATAGTTACACCCGAACGTTCTATGCTTGATCTTAGAGCGTTTACGTCTGTAAAAGTTGTACAATGCACAAACATAACGTACATCAATGTACAGCAGTGTTTGCTTATCTAAACTGATAAAAATGTTTCTGCGAATAATTCAGAAACAATCTTCCGTGCAATATTTATCAGAAGTTATCTCCATGTACTTTTAAAATTGTACATGTGATCTTGACCTGAAGCTCTAAAAATTATTATCAAAACTGCTTAATTGTTAATTTATAAAAACTGTCAAAAGATTCTTGGTCATTAAGATTAGCCGTTATTCTCGAGAAACCTAACGAATGTTAGACTTCGTTCGATCACACTCACCGTTATCCATACAATCGGGCAAACAGTCGCGAGTCTCTCTGCTGAGTCCCTGACAGAATCCGTTACCATGTTGAAGACACTGTCTCTTCCTATGTTGCTGATGATCGTCGTCACAGGGAGTCCAACGCGACCACGAGTCCCATCCGGCCAAAGACTCGCAGCTGGGCATCTCGCAGGTCTCTCTAACTAGTCTCGGGCCTTCGCAGCTTTCCGGCCCGAGGCACTCTCTCGTTCGGGAACGCACGCCAACGCCGCACGACACCGAACATTCGGACCAGTCTGTCCAACAGGACCACTGGCCCTCGGTCGCTGCGTTTCCAGCTTGACTCAACCGACACGGATGCATATTGCACAACCTGGTCTGCACGGACAAACCCTCGCAAGGTGGTGATTCACACTGTCTGATTCTGTGTTGTGAACCTCCGTCGCAAGGACGATCGCAAGGCCGCCACGCGGACCATTCGCTCCATCCAGCTTCCGTCCCGAGATCCCCGTACGAATTTTGATTCACGTTCCCTCTTAGGCAAGAACCGTCGTTTCTACAGTAGCGTTCCTCCTCTTTGGCCAGTTGCACCCTGACGCTGGATGGATCGTCGGTCTGAGCACGGCAACTGAATCGGAACCGTTTCTCCACGTAGCCGATGCTTGCGCTCTGAAGGCTACCGTTCACTGCTAGCCACGGAGTCCATCCGGAGTATCTTTTCGTCTCGATGCATTGATGCGAGTTGCATTCTTCGATCTATCGAATAGAAATGAAGAGAAATGAACAGAGAGTGGAATAGAATAGAAAAATTGCCAGTTTTACGACTTTCAATCTATCGATAATAACTAATCTCGCTAAATTCACGTTCATTTGTCTAAACATCTACTAAGAGATCTCACAGTGATCCTTTCAGTGTTTCGTTCTCAAGCCTACAATGTGACAATTCGTGCTATGTTTACCTGAAAGTCACATCCATTGCACTCGACGGTGGGCGACTTTCGCGGCGAAGGATTCTCGCACGTTCTTCTTCGTATCCGTATTCCTGCAGACCAAACAGCAGACAGGTGTTATACAGACGATATAGAACAATATCTTCGAAGAAATGATTGTAAAACCACAGAACATAGGAAACATAGAAATGGAAGAAGATTATAAACGATACAACAAACAATTGAAGCATTTGTACAACGCTTACCACCGTTGCAAGGTCGGGAGCAAGCGTTCCAAGTGCCCCAAGATGACCATTGACCAATGGTTTGTTGCGGTGGTGTTGCGACCTTGGCAGGTGTAGGACACGGTGGAAGATCTATGCAGACGATGTCGTCGTGATCGTGACCAACGCAGACTCTTCCACCGAAAGCCGGTGCTGGATTCGTGCACGTGCGCCGACGTGTTTTCATCGCGAAGCCACACGTTTGCGAACACGCTGACCAGGCTGACCAGGCTGTCCAGCCACCGTGAACCGTGCAGTTCGTCACCCTGACCCTAGCTCCCGAACAAGTTGCTCCACCGTGTTGCGGAGGCGGGTTGTTGCAGTCTCGTGTTTGACACTGACAAGTGTCCAAGACCTAAAACAAAGGAAAGAAAGGATTAGTGAGAATAGTGAACTGATATAGTAAAATGATCACTGTATAGGTAGATTAGCATAGATTATCAGAAAGATATGTTATAGCTGGAGGAAGATAATCAACTCTTCAAAAGGAAGAAAACAGATATGCCAAAATTTTATAATTACTTTATAATTATATAGTTTATGGAATTTTATACAGCCCAGAATTATAGTCTAAAATATTATATTATATTATATGTAAAATATTATCTAGAATTATATTCTAAACATTAAAATATTCTTTTAATGTGTGTCCTCTGTCTTGTAAGAAATCTTTAGAATGAGAGAAATGTTAGAAAGGGGAATATTATCTGTAATTAAAGAAGATCTGTCAAACTCTGATAAGAATCTTTTGATGTCTGTATAATATACGGACTATAATAGCGCGCTATGGACTTACCGTCTCGGTGTGAGAGTGCAAATGGACGTGTGAATGAGAATGTGCGTGATCCGTAGTACCATGTTGACACGAGGACCAAGAGCTCCAAGCGCTCCATCCACCATCCACAGGATCTGTGAGAACAGGGCACTTGGTGACTTCTTGATGCCAGTGATTAGCAAGATGGTTTTGCTTCGGAGCTGGATCGCATTTCATCAGATGCTCGTTCCAACCGCAATACGGTTCCTGAGCGTTCAGACAAGCCTGGCGACTTCGGTGTCTGTGGCATTGCGCAGCTGGTATTCTGCAAAAGAGCGAAATAATGAGAGATTGACCAAAAATAATTTGAGTAATATTGGGTTCACACTGTTTGAAAAATATTGTCTGCATGAATCTCTCGAGTAGATTTCTGAAGGATGCTTGCATATTCCTGAATATGTGAGTGCAAGTATAGTAAAGTTCATCCTTATGGTACATTTAATCACACTATGTTTTATATATATTTAATCAGAAATTAATTATCATACTTAGTCAGAATATTAATATATATAATTAGAAACCTGTTATGGTTAAAATACCAATATCACAATAAATCATAATTAGAATTATGGGAACTGATAATTTTATCGTTTCCATGTATTATATCTGGAAAGATATGCCTATTTAAACAAGCTTAAGCAGTACAGATACGTGAGTCCTGCATTTAATCATACAATACACCTACTATATTTAATCAGAAATCTGTTATAGTTAAAATAATATCAGTCATAATCAGAACTATGGAAACTGACAATTTCATGTGCACAAAGATATGTCTAGCACAAGCCTAAGCAGTACAGCTACATCATGAACAGTCTTGTTCAGAATTTCAGATAAATATAATAATCTGACCAATGTGGGCGCAGCTGATTGATTGACTGGAAATATCACATTTACCTCGAGAGACCAAATTCTGTGCCGACGTACAGGCTCTGCGTGTCTTTCAAGAATTGCATGGTCATCGGTGTCGAGGGCAAGGGACCCCAGACTTCAACGATACAGGTTTCTTGCGTGCGCGGTAAAACCGAGATCTTCTTGATCAGGCCAACGTCGGTAGCCACGTACAGCACAGTGACGCCGCGGTGCAGTTTAGTTGGCGTGACGTCCAGGGCGATCAACGTGAATCTCTCGAGCAGAGCGGTGTGCAAGGGTTCCAGAGTGGTGCTCTGAACCGCGTCGTCCATCAGCTGGTATCTCTGATTGTCTATGATCTGATGAGGAGCGACGTTCGCCATGTTGCCGCATCGTTGACGATTTTGATGAGAGACCGGCCTCCTCTCCCAGGCGGCGCCCGAATTCTCCTGGTGCTTGAAAGGCCCGTTGAAGCTCGCGGTGATCGCCGACATGTTGAACGCGCATATCGCCGACCCGGCAATTCCATTGCTAAAAATATACACGTCGACTTTAGCCACACTCTCGGTCTTTCTCCCCTTATTCGTTGCTCGAAACAGGCGAAAGTAACAGTGAAGAAGTGAAAAAAAGAAAAGAAAACAAAGAGGATGGCAAGGAACTAAAGATACGGTGCGTATCTCCTCACTATACAATCACCCTGTAAAATTTTTTTTTGAAGCTATAAGACTTTTTTTTTTTATCAACGAGCTATTTCAACATGTGTTCAACACGATCTCCACTCGCTTCGCTCGACGTATCCTTCCTTGTTTCAATCGGTGTTTAAATGGTCAGCAAACGAAGGAGTAATGTCCTATGTTCGCGAAATAACGAAGTTGTACATTCTTTCGTCATTCTCGCGGAATGGTATTGATACAATTATTTGGTGGCGCGATATGAACATTGCAGGATCATAATTGCAACTACGGACAACTATGTAACTGGCTATATTTCGGAAGAAAAGTATATGGTTTGATATTCAAAAATTGTCACTTGTGCATAGTATTAGTCGATTGTGAATCGTTCGACAAAAATGATTCGATTTAATCGATATCTGATCTAAAATAAATACATCTAATTTTTCGTATCCAGAAAGTGCAAAAGTTTACAAGTAATTATTAACCAACCACGAATTCATGGCTACGTTCGAAGAA